CAGCGGCAATGCTACCAGGGCGCGGCGGGCTGAGGTCTGGCACGTCAAAAGACTGTAAAGCGTCGCAGAGTCTAACGACGGCACTGTGACATGGCGGGCGTGAACCGGCATTAAATAAGTTCGCATGCCACCGCTGCCTTGTGTTTAGACTATTGGTTAAAAGTTCAATTTAGGGTCCCAAACAGCACGCGAAAGCCCCATCCTTATTTAATACGGGACAGGTGGTAATAAGGGTTAAGTGGTTGGGGCATATCAGGAGAAAGAATAAATAAATAAACAGTAGAGCGTATAAAAGGAGAAAATAATAGGAATAATTAGTTAAATTACCAAACATTTGCGCGCAATAATTAAAATGGGAAATACGACCAACAGAAACAAAGAAGGCCTAATAGTACCCAAATGGACACAGTCGTCGATTCTATATCAACTCCATAGAGATGAGCTCTTCTGCCTGTGCTATGGTTCCGGACTCTGAAGGTTGTGGTATGAAACATGCATTCACAAGGGAGCAACATTCAGAACGATCATAATTTTCGGGAACACGCGACAAGAGCAGTTTGTGTAGGCTTACCCAACTTGCTACAGTCGTGGTAGCAACCGCAGCTGTTCGTCTACGTAAATGACGCCAAACAATGCACAATCGAACAAGGCTACAGCGTTTTAAAATTAACGATTGTCCGATCGTCGCGGCAGGGGCACAAAAATGTGAAGCGCGGCACAAAAATTACACTGTGCAATAGTCTAGAATGTTTGTGGATTATTACAAGGTTGGTAAGTAGTCAACTGAAGATACATCTAGGTAAGCATATCAGATTAGGAAAAGCCAACAAAACGATGCCAAAATGGTCGCAAAACCAAGCGCGGCCGAACCTAAAATTAGGCCGGATAGGAACAGAAGTTGTGGGAGTTTAGAGGTACCGAATTCTGAACTGCTTATGGGAATCCGAGTGCCAGGCGGTCAAGGAAAGTTTATAATACTGGAAGTCGGGCCAGCTGTGGGCTATAAGCAAAAAGGACTGTTCTTAATTCTCAACTGAGGTTCGGATTTGTTCATCATTCTCAATCTATGAGAGTGACGCTCCAATTCGTCCAATATTTTGTCAACCTTTCAAATGGCATGCTTTGATAACCTTCCAAACGCATAACGCTCTCTGCAGCGTGCAGAAAGAGAAGCTATGTACGATAATCAGGGTTGTAAAATACAACCTCTGTAAGCGGCCAGTAATGATAAACGCACTTAAAATAACGGAATTCACAGTATGGAAGGAAAAAATAAAAAAAGGCACAAGCACTTAGAATTCTCACTTTAAGAGGACATGAGCACATAAAGGCTGTCAATTTCGTAATAGTTTAAGTGACTAAGGGTGTTGCAAAAAGGTTCCAAGGTTTTGAGGGAAGATGGCAGCTAAAGGAAAATTGGCCTAAACGGTCAGGTGGTGTGTTGAAGCTTTTAACAGCAAGCTAGTATTTTTTAGATATGACGCACCGCATAATAAAATTACAGACATGTAGTGCAGGCCAAATATAATCAACCGTGGTAATCTATGCTAATTCTTCTCAATATCTTCGGCAGCCAGCCAAACCGTGAGCTAGGGTTCACATGTGACTACATAAGTTACGCTCTGTATCACATTTTGTTATCAGCAGCCAACTCTCCCCAGTTCTGCGGATCGTGCTTTGGTAGTTGAGTCTGTTTATGTGGATTCCTTGCGGTCTGCTTTGTCAAATAATGGCGTCACCTTAGTTACATAAAGTGGCTCAAGTTTACTGTCACGGAACAAAAATCAGCCATGGTAAGCAGAGTGATTTCACTGGGTATCGCTCCCCACCGTCCGTTAGGGCAGGGTCCCTTTATCAATTCCGTTCACCTTTATGATACACCGGGTCATCGGAATGCGTCAGCAGGTAACTTTTGTTGCAGTGTGTTGCTGCTCACGCAGTACTAATAGGTATTATTTTACTGGCATTATTGTGGGTTTGTTTGAAGAAATTTGGTATATTACAACCCAGATATGCGAGTAAAAGTTGTCGGAATGGACGCAAAATAAATCCTGTCAGACCGTAATAAGAGATACTTGTCTGGCCATGGTAAATTGTGAAAGTCTTGGGTTATAATACAGTTTCTGTTACAGTGGATCAAGCTTGCAAGATAGAGTAAATCAGCCATTGGATCAGACAGTAAATGGTAAACTTTGTGCTGTTTCTTTGAATTCTCTTGAATTAGAATGTGATTAAGCAGGTCAATCTGTGGATATAATAACAACAATAGACTTGACCATAGCAAGCGAAGGAGCCACCATTGCTCCGAAGAGGACGCAGTGGTGTATCATAATGCGTACGTCATCGGCCATTTCGACTCAGCAGGCTCAGAGACAAAGCAAGACAATTTGAGATAGGCGAGGATGCAGTGGCTGA